TTATGCATTTTTTTCTATATTTTAGGGAAGGCTGTGTAGGGTGTTCAGGGTCTCACTACTAGATCAGACTCATAGTGATCCTCCTTTTACAGCCTGCCAAGAGCTGCGATTACAGGCACACGCCACCGCTCCCAGTCTCAATTGCTATCTCAGCATACCCTGGAGGCAGGGCCAGCACGGCAGGCCCAGGGATCGAACCCCCGGCTCCTGCACCTGCTTGCAGGCACTTTAATCCACTGAGCTATTTATCCAGCATATATATATACATATGTGTGTATATATAATATGTATATATAATACATAATTATACACTTCCAGGTATTTTGGGTGGTATGGAAGATGGGATTCAGGGGCTCATGCACACTCAGTGACTGCTGCGCCATGGAATTACACCCTTATCCTTAGTATAGTTTTAAGTGGTAGAACTATTGCAGAGCCAGAATCTTATTCTTAGAAAACAGTTGAAAGTCTAACGCCTACAAAGAAAGTTGAAATTATTCATTAATACCTCATGGGATGGCTTCCTAATTACAAATATTTCTGGCTGAACAGCTCCAAGATTCAGTGGCTTCACTCTATAAGGAATTATTTTTCTCCCAAGAAGAAATGGATAGAATCAGGTGTTTCTGTTCTTGATTCTCTTTTGCAAGGCTTTGGTAAAAGAGGCTGGGCTGTCTGGACTGGGGCTGTAGTATAGCGGTAGAGGAAAGGCTTTTGCTTACATGAGGCCCTGGAACCATCCTCATCACTAGGAAAAGAAAAAGAATACTTCAGCTGATCCTAGCTGTCCCCATACTCATGCGCATGTGAATTTTTTAAAATTGTTTTCATGACTGCAAAGTGCCCCCCCCCCCGAGCTCCAGACATCACGGCCTTGTCCCAGGAAAGAAAGCGCGAGATGGCGAGAAGCAGCCAACACTTCCTTCATAGTTCTCTCTTAACAAGAAACAAAGGCTTTCCCAGAACCTCTACAGAAGTTTTCTTTGCACTTAGTCGAAACGAATAAAATGACTACTCCTTCTCAAGATGAATCTGAAAAACATCTTTTTTTTTTTTTTTAAAGATGGTCTAGGGGGACTGGTGAGATGGCTCAGTGGTCTAAAGCACCTACTTAGAACAAGCTTAGCAAAGCACAGGGACCACGGTTCAATCCCCAGCACCACATGCCAGCCAGCCCTGCCCCCTGGTGGGCTGAGCTGGCCACACACACACACACACACACACACACACAAATAAATAAAAATTAAAAAAAAAAAATAAAGATGGTCTAGGAACTATAAAGAGTAAAGTGGCTGCGAAGGACTTTTCCATTTGCCAATAGGGCTTGCCACGCTGGAGACAATCACTTAGTATTTTCATATTTATGCTTCTTGTCCCTGTTAATCTGTTTGTGTCTGTGGATTCGTGAGATCCACACCTCTGACGGTACGACCTTCAGAGCTCCAGGCTCTGAGGAAGTTCTCTTTTCTCTCTTCCAGAGTTAAACTGCTTGCTCGCTTTCCAGCATACTCTTATAGAGCAACATGCGAGAACCACAAGTGCCTTCAGGAGCCAGCTCTGATGGCTTCTCTTCATGGTTTATTGTGGAAAAACAAGATGCTACCAGCTCTAAAACTCTGTGGACAATTCAGAGCACGGGTGGGTAGGGACTGGGCTTTCACGCACAGGAGAGAAACAAAAGTTCCTTCCCCAGATTACTGTTTTACCTTCCGTAGTTTGCAACTCTTTGAATTTCCAGTGTTCTTGAAAACAGCACTTCCCACTTCAGTGGCGTGACTGAGAACGCAGGGCCACCGTTTTGTGTCCTTCCTTCACGGGTGCCTCGTCCCAAATGTCCTCTGGCACCTACCCTGTCACTGACACAGAAAAGATCTCAGTAAATGATTTGTCATCTGGCTAAGCGAATTACTATCAAAGACGCTTCCTGTCTTTAAGGAAACAATCAGGATATGTTGATGAAGTCTGGGAAACCAGTGACTTACATAGATGTAAACTACGTTGGTAAATCACTTAGAAGGATGACATGGGGAAGTAGGAGCACTTCCTGGAGCAGATTGCTAGCACTTCCTGCATCACCGAAACCCTCAGGGACAGTCTCTTGGGGAAAATGCTCTGGTTTCCTTGGAGTTTTCAGGTAACCAGCATCATCCTTATCTTTTCAGAATTTGGTTATGCCTTGGATAGGATTTGCTGGGGCCACACCCTTCCCTGTAACTTTTTCCTCCTACTTTGACCCTGGGCTTGGTCTTATGCTGCTTTGGTCAATGTAACATTAGCAAATCAAGTTCAACCCAAATTCACAGTCGGTGTGATTTCCTTCCCGCCATTACGATGCTAAAATTTGCTTCCTGGTGCTTTCTTGCCTGCACCATGAGAATATGCCCAAACTCACTCACCCATGAGGAATGTGTAAGGAATACTTGGCGGATGAGGAGGAATGCCAGTTATGCAAATTGTGGCAGTCTCAGCCAATCCACTTGCCAGCATGTAGATGACCGTCACCCCTTGAGGGAACTCTGCCAACATCAGCAGATGCAAGGGGCTGCCGCAGGTGCTCATGGGCAGCAATGGAATATCAGTGTTTTAAGACACAGAGTTTCCATAAAGGTTTGTTATGAGGCATCAGATGTGTGAATTCCTAAGGGATAAAACAACCAACAAAGGGCTGGTCAAATAGCTCAGTGGATTAAAGCTCCTGCAAGTGGGCGTAGGGACCGGGGTTCGATCCCCAGGCCTGCCATGCTGGCTCCCCACCCCCACTTTCCGGGGTGCACTGAGATAGTGATTGAGACTAGGCATGGTGGCATGCACCTGTAATCCCAGCTTTTGGGAAGCTGTAAACAGGTGGATCAGTACGAGTCCGATCTAGTAGTGAGACCCTGAACACCCTGTAGACCCTTTCCTAAAAAAAAATTAAAAAATAAAATAAAAACCCACAAATTGTCAATGTTTTATATTTGTTCAAAACCATTCCAAAGGGCCAGGGAGAGACCTCGGTGGTGCAGCAGCTGCCTGGCAAGAACAAGGTCCTGAGTACGATTCCCGGTACCAAAACAATGATAACAACAAAATCATTTGGCTCAGTGGTCTAAAGCACCTACTTGGAACAAGCTTAGCAAAGCACAGGGACCGCGGTTCAATCCCCCAGCACCACATGCCAGCCAGTCCCGCCCCCTGGTGGGCTGAGCTGGCCACACACACAATAAATAAATAAATAAATAAATAAATAAATAAATGTTAAAAAAAATAAATAAAAAGAAAATGACGTGGGTCTTCATTTGCTCTGACACGTCACAATCATAAATTCTGTACTAATAAAATAATGTCCTATAAGACCGGCTTTGCCTGTGTCTGCCTAGTACTATGAGCTGACCTAAAATATAATCACCTTGAGGATCTGTTTACTTAGAAGGTGAGTAGGTGAGCTGCAACTAGCATTTATTTTTAAGTAAGCATTTTTTTGAAATCTTTCCTTGTACAGATTTATAGGACATGGTATGATAATATGATCTATATTTACAATCTGCAAGGCCCAGAGTACTTATAGTTCTCTTTTCCTAAATGCTCAAATATTTTTTGTCAAAACATAATGATTGTACATATTGAAAAGGCGCAGTGCAATATTTCAAAACCTGTGTATGTTTGAACAAATAAACAATTTGGTTTTTTTGAACAAATAAAGATAATTGAACAAACAAAAATAAGTACTGTATTTGTTTCACCACTATTTTATATCTGGTGCTTTCAAGCTTCTCTCGTCTAGTTTTTCAGAAAATATATAGGAGCTCACTGTGAACCATCGTCACCACCCCACCCCGCTGCAGTTGGGCATGAGAACTTGTTATTTCTGCTCATTTGGGGCCCTGTTATTCCACTTCTCTTTGTTACCCTCTCTTCTCCTTCCCAGTCCACACAAATCACTGTTATATACTATGGTTTGCTTTATTAAACTTCCACCTCTGAGAGAAAGCATGCCTTGCTTCTCTTTGCCCATGTCTTTAAACATAATGACCTTCAATTCCATATATGTTGTTAATAATAGCAGGATAGCATTATGTTCATCGTTAACTAATGTACCCACCGTGTGCACGTTCCCCACTTCCAGTCCACCCACAGGCCCCTCAGTGGGGAAATGAAGGAATGATTTTAACTGTAAATGTCACGCTTCTCTTGGTGGACTCTTGTCACCCTCATTATCTCATTTGAAACCACTAAAGGGGGAAAGAGATAAAAGTGGCAAGTTTTCTGAAACCTAATAAAAACCATGTGTGGTAACTCTCCCTCTTATAATCCAAATAATGTGTAGTGTCTATGAAAATGATAGGGCTGGTGAGATGGCTCAGTGGTCTAAAGCACCTACTTAGAACAAACAAGCTTAGCAAAGCACAGGGACCACAGTTCAATCCTCCAACACCACATGCCAGCCAGCCCCGCCCCCTGGTGGGCTGAGTTGGCCACACACACACACACACACACACACACACAAATAAATAAATTAAATAATAAATAAATAAAAAATAAACATGGGCATGTGGGCACCCATAGAGCAGTCTGTCTTTAAATCCTTGAGAAGACTCCAAGGAACAGTACAGCCAGGTCATGCTGTGGCTCTATTTTTAAGTTTCTGAAGAACCTTGATATTGATTCCTATAAAAGATGGACTACTTTGCCAGCAGTGTAGAACCATTTCTGCAAAGATGCCCTACTTTGGAGAAAGTTCTATTAACTGCTGAAAAGATGTGTATTCTGCAGTTGTTGGAACGACCTGTTGGAAGTCCATTCAGTTTGTTTAGTTTTTGGTGCAGTTCAATTCCGATGCTTGTTAAAAGTTTGTCCCGTGCATTGGTGTGATTGAGATATTGAAGCCCCCCCACACACACACACACTGTACTGGAGGCTGTCTGGCTCTTGTCTCAGTAGTGTTTGTTTTATGAAACTATGTGTGCTAATTTTCAGTACATATATATTTATACTTATTATACATTCTCATTAGACAGTTTCTTTTACCATTGCAGGATGTCATGTATCCTCTGACAAGAACAGTCCCTCATCATACATGAGTAGTGTGGTTTGTGTCTCGATGTTCCACAAAGCTTCCTGTGTTCATGGATTGTTTTTCAGAGGTGCTTAATCCACAGTGTGCAATGCCAAGATTAAGGGTGCTGGGAGGAAGTGTGAGTGATTGCTGGATGAGTCTACTCATTCGATTGGCACCATCCTAATCCCAGCAACCCGGATAAGATAAGAGGGGTAGAAAGAGGTGTGTCTCCCAGCTTGTTGCTTTGCTGCTTTCTGCCCACCATGACTGTCCCCTCTGCCAAGTCACCCTAGCTGGAAGTCAGCCAGTTATGGGCTGAAACCTCTACACAGTGTGAGTTAAATAAACGTTTCCTCCCTGAACTTTGGGCATTGGTATTTTACCTCAGCAATGGAAATAGCAAGTAAGGCAGTAAGCATGGCTAATCCTGCCTGCTTTCAGATTCCACTGGGATGGAATCACATCTTCCATCCTTTCACTCTTGGTGTGTGGACGTCCTTGCAAATGAGGTGTGTTTCTTGCAGGCAGCAAAGCTATGGTCCTGTATTTTTAGAAAATTGGCCACTGTGTGTCTTTTCACTGTGAGATTAAGACCATTTATATGCAGGGTCATTATAGACGTGTGTACAATAATTCTTGTCGTTGAATTGTCTAGTATTTTATTTTTTCCTAATTTTTAATTGCTAATCTTCTCTTCCTCTTTTGTATATAAAATCCCTTTAAGTATTTTTTTCACTGCTGACTTACTGGCTTTGAATTTCTTTCTCTTTTTTTTTAAATGTATTTTGGACAGGGTTCACAGGGTCTCACTATGTAGATCAGCCTCATAGTGATCCTCCTGTTTTCAGCCTCCTGAGTGCTGGGATTACAGGCACACACTACCATGCCCAGTCTCACTCACTGACTCAGTGTACCCCAGGGACAGGGCTGGCATGGCACCCTGGGGATTGAACTCCAGTCTCTATGCCTGCCTAAGCAGGTGATTTAGTCCGCTGAGCTATCTGGCTGGCCCAGAATTTCCTTATTTTCCATTTATCTTTAAGGGTTTTTATTTCTCCTTTGATTATGAAAGACAGCTTCGCTGGTTGTAGTAGTGTAGGTTGCCAGTTATTTACTTTCCAGTCTTTAAATACATCAGTCTATGCCCTTATATACTTTGAAGTTTACTATTGATAAATTTTTTAATTATTCAGATGGGTTTATCTTTACAAATTATCTTAGCATCCTGTCATGTGGCTTTCAATATTCTTTTATAGTTCTGTACTTTGGATAGTCTAACAGGCAAATAGTCTTTCTTTTCTTTTTTTTTTTTTTTTTTTAATGTATTTGGTTGTTGCAGGGTCTCACTATGCAGCTCGGACTCATAGTGATCCTCTTGCTTTCAACCTCCCCAGCACTGGGATTACAGGTGTGCACCACCACACCCAGACTCTGGCTGGCTCAGCCCACCCTGGGGGCAGGGCTGGCCAGGCATGTGGTGCCATCGAACCACGGTCCCTGTGCTTGCCTAAGCAGGTGCTTTAGTCTACTGAGCTATCTGCCAGCCCCAAAAGAAGGAATTTTAAATGAGTAAAGAGAGCAGTTTTAGGGTCCAGGGAGATAGCTCAGTAGAATAAGTGCTTGCCTGGCAAGCGCAAGGGCCTGAGTTCAATCCCTGATTCGGGGGGGTGGGGAGAGAGAAATTTTAAAAGGAAAAGTATAATGAGTCCAAGAAACTTCCAAAATAGTGTTTCCCTCTAGGACCTGTAATACCGGCATCTGCCAGTGACGGTGAGGGGTATGAATCACACCCGGGGACTGATGTACTGACCCTCCCGCCTGCTGCACAGGTTTGTACTTTGCAGATGCCAAGCCCTGCTCTTGTTTACTGCTGGGTAATAGCAGTCAGTGCCGTGCTGTCTTCTCTCCAGTGGCTTTCTATGGTTTGATTTTTTGCTTCCGTGTAAAACAACAGAACCCTGCTACACCCAGGGCGCTTTGTGGCACGTGGGCTGCTCATGTTAGCCACTGGCACCAGAAACCTCCTCTGGGTACCCAGGGACATGGCAGACTCCAGAGGGAATCCCTAAACAGGTCAGAGAATGAGGGAAGCAGAAAGACCCCAGAGCTGTGTGGGAGGAGACACCAGCAGGAGCCATGCAATCCCACAGGCTCAGTCCTGGCGCTTTCTGTCCAGCCCCCTCAAACATCACACATGGGGACCTTCTCATGGTCACACAAGGTGGCACTGAGGACCGTGCCACCCTCCACAGCACAGGCTCTGTGCTCTTCACACTTCTCAGAGAGTCTGAATCTAACACTGCCCCACTCTGACCTTGTGAGTGTTTCCCACCGACTCTCTACAGCAACTGGAATTGTGGTGGCGCTGTGATTTCTGATCCCCAGAATGTCTTAACTCAGAGTGATAAACCTCCTGTCAAGATGGCCCAGGGATATAGCTCAGTGGTGCGGTGTTTGCCTAGCAAGCACAGGTTCTGAGTTTGATTCCTGGTACTTGTTCTCCTTCAGGGTATGGTTACTCCTGCAGTAGATTTCTTCTCCTAAGTTAGCCTGCCTCTAGAAGAGTCACTGTTAGACTCAGTCTCCACCTTGGATTTATTTTCAGCTTGCAATAACCATAGGATCATCGCGCAGCTAGGGCAGCCAGTCTGTTTCCCTGTCACAGGGTCTTCCGGTCTTCTCAGAGGTTACTTTGTGCTCTGACTCTCCTCTCCTCCCCTTCACTCCCCAAGCTTGGTTTGACATTGCAAGGTGCTGTGTAGCTTTCCTTGTGCTGTCTTTTCCTGTCTCCAACTTCTTACTTTCCATCACATCTTCTTGGTTCCTGGAGCTCTTCCTCTTGTTCTCTCTTCAGATGATAATTTTCTCTTTTGTAACTCTTAATGCTCCTCCCTTGCATGGTCCTACAAAACATGGTTCTGTTGTATCACCTCTCCCAGAACTCCCAATTTCTTCATTTTAATGGTAGTAAATGCATCCATTTCAAAACCCAGTTCTGGAGAGAAGTAGCCATTAAAATATCTCTCTGCCTTGGGCCTGGGAATGGGTTGTGTCTCAGCCAGAGACAGTTTGTCTAGCGCTGTTGTAGGTTTCCAGCCTTCAGGAAGGAAATCCTATTTGCAGCAAGACAGAAGAATCTGAAGGGCAGGTTAAGTCAAACCAATAAAGCAGCCACAGAAAAACAAGCCTTCCGGGATCTCGCTATTATGTGGAATCTCAAAGACATGGAAGCAGAGCACAGAACAGTTGTGGGCAAAGGTGAGGAGGTGGGTAGGCATGCCTAGATGAGAGCAAAGGGCACAGATCTCAAGTTATGTAGACGGACTCTGCCTCGAGAGCTACCTTACAGCAGAGCGCTGTCAGCCTGTGTGCTGGAAATTTACCAAGAAAATTGATTTGAAGAATTTCCCCCACATGTCCCCAGAACAGCTATGGAAAATGAAGGCAATTTTGATTCGCTTGACTATTGTAATCATTTCCCTGCTTTCTCACCAAAACATCATGTGACAGTTTCATTTTTAGTTTTAAGAGAAGTACCAAATATAGTTCTATTCCCATGTGTTTCAGGAACCTCCATAACATCTTCAGAAAGAGTATCGTGGCGGGGCGAGTCGCCGTCCGACGTCTGGGCGTAAGGCGTCTCTGGGACCGGGGTCTCTCCGCAGCAGACATGACGAAGGGCCTTGTTCTAGGAGTCTATTCCAGAGACAAAGAAAATGAAGTGCCACCGTTTACAAGTGCAGGAGAGAATTTCAATAAATTGGTGGATGGAAAGCTGAGAGATGTTTTGAACATATCTGGACCACCTCTGAAGGCCGGCAAAACCCGAACCTTTTATGGTCTGCATCAGGACTTTCCCAGCGTGGTGGTAGTCGGCCTCGGCAAGAGGGCAGCTGGGGTGGACGAGCAAGAGAACTGGCACGAAGGCAAAGAAAACATCAGAGCCGCCATCGCAGCGGGGTGCAGGCAGGTCCAGGACCTAGAGCTGTCTTCTGTGGAGGTAGATTCCTGTGGAGATGCTCAGGCTGCCGCGGAAGGTGCCATACTTGGTCTCTATGAATACGATGACCTAAAGAAGAGAAAGAAGATGGGTGTGTCGGCGAAGCTTTATGGAAGCGGGGATCAGGAGGCCTGGCAGAAAGGGGTCCTCTTTGCTTCAGGACAGAACCTGGCGCGCCAGCTGATGGAGACCCCAGCCAATGAGATGACCCCAACCAGATTTGCTGAAATTATTGAGAAGAACCTCAGAAGTGCTAGTAGTAAAACAGAGGTCCACATCAGACCCAAGTGTTGGATCGAGGAACAGGAGATGGGCTCATTCCTGAGTGTAGCCAAAGGGTCCGATGAGCCTCCAGTTTTCCTGGAAATCCACTACAGAGGCAGCCCCAATGCAAGCGAAGCGCCCCTGGTGTTTGTTGGGAAGGGAATTACCTTTGACAGCGGCGGCATCTCCATCAAGGCCTCCGCAAACATGGACCTCATGAGGGCTGACATGGGGGGAGCCGCAACCATCTGCTCAGCCATTGTGTCTGCTGCGAAGCTCAATCTGCCCATTAACATCATAGGTTTGGCCCCTCTCTGTGAAAATATGCCCAGTGGCAAAGCCAACAAGCCTGGAGATGTGGTCAGAGCCCGGAACGGGAAGACCATCCAGGTGGATAACACGGATGCCGAGGGCCGGCTCATCCTGGCCGATGCCCTGTGTTACGCACACACCTTTAATCCAAAGCTCATCATCAATGCTGCCACCTTAACAGGTGCTATGGATGTGGCCCTGGGGTCCGGTGCCACTGGGGTCTTTACCAATTCATCCTGGCTCTGGAACAAACTATTTGAGGCCAGCATTGAAACTGGGGACCGGGTCTGGAGGATGCCACTCTTTGAACATTACACCAGACAGGTTGTAGATTGCCAACTTGCTGATATCAATAATGTTGGGAAATACAGATCTGCTGGAGCGTGCACTGCGGCGGCGTTCCTGAGGGAGTTCGTGACTCATCCCAAGTGGGCGCACTTAGACATCGCGGGTGTGATGACCAACAAGGACGAGGTTCCGTACCTGCGGAAGGGCATGACTGGGAGGCCCACCCGGACTCTGATCGAGTTCCTGCTTCGCTTCAGTCAAGATGAGGCCTAGTTCTGACACTCGGAAATCGCTGCATAAGCCTTACAATGGGCAGTTAAACTTAAATATTTTTGAATGGATAAAAGTCTTTTAAGACAACAAGGATTGCATTTTTAAAGTTAGAACAAAATGAAAATTTGTATGCCTTGATATTTGATTTTATGCAAAGATTTATAAAGGTAAAGCTAATATGTTTGGCAAGCTTTTTAAGATACTCATTCTGTGCATAATATTATTTTTAAAACTTCCTGATCACTTTTCAGAGTATATATGTTTAACTGAAAGGAAAAATTGCATCTCAGATCTGTGGTGCTAGGAACATAAACAAATGAACAGTTATTATGTGATGGTCAGAAACAATAAATCCAACTTTTTGTGCTGTCAAAAAAAAAAAAAAAAAAAAAAAGAGTATCGTAGGATGCATCTACCCCAGGACTGTGCGCATATTCAAAGGAACTAAGACTAAACTCTTGAAGGGACATCTATGCACCCTTATTGCTGAATTCCTAATAGTCAAGAAATGGAAACACTGTGAAGTGTCCATTAGCTGACCAGTGAATAAAGAAAAAGCTTTCTATCTCCAAGCGAATCATATTTAAATTCTTCTCTTTTTTCTTGTGCCTTTAAATTTCTTATAACATTTTTTTTCCAATTTTGCATGCTTATGTCTGGTAATCTGAACAACTACATTGGAGACAGCATTATGCAATACAACAACCACTGTTGAATTCCTGTTGGTTTTTTTTTCAGGTTTTTTTTTTCTATATTTAGAACAGGGTCTACAGGGTCTACAGGATCTCACTACCTGGATCAGAATTGTAGTGATTCTCCTGTTTGCAGCCTCCCAAGCACTGAGATCACAGGTACATGCCACCATGCCTAGTCTCAATTGCCGTCTCAGTGCACCCCGGGGGCAGGCTGGCATGGCAGGCCAGGGATTGAACCCCCCGGCTCCTGCATCTGCCTAAGCAGGCACTTTAGTCTGCTGAGCTATCAGGCCAACCCTTCCTATTGCTTTTTTTTAGTGAAGTCTTGTATCATTTCTTTTTTTACTGTTTTGTATTCTCTTTAATAATAAATACATAAATAACTATCTAGAAATATAGTTATGAGGCTGGCCAAATAGCTGAACAGACTAAAGTGCCTGCTTAGGCAGACTCAGGGGCCGGGAGTTCGATCCCAGGCCTGCCATGCCAGCCTCACCCTAGGGACACACTGAGACAGCAATTGAGACTAGGCATGGTGGCACATGCCTGTAATCCCAGCACTTGGGAGGCTATAAACAGGAGGATCACTACGAGTCTGATCTATGCAGTGAGACCCTGTAGACCCTGTCCTAAATACAAAAGAGAAAAAGAAAAAGAAAGAAGAAAGAAAGAAAAAGAAAGAAAGAAAGAAAGAAAGAAAGAAAGAAAGAAAGAAAGAAAGAGAGAAAGAAAGAAAGAAAAAGGAAATAGAGATAGGAGACAAAAGCCTAATGTCCCGAGGGAGCAAGGAGCACTAAACAGTGAGTGTCCTAGGAGAGCTGTTGTCTCTTTTGTAAATTCCGGCAAGCTGGGACTCAAGGCTGCAGAGAGCAGCTTCTCCTGCTGGCGCCATGTCAGTTGTTCCATCCCTTGCTCGGATGTTAATGGCTGGCACTGTGTAAACCTAGCGTTAGGCAAGTGCTCAGGTCAATAGAGAGAGTAGTTTGTGTTCCCCAAAGCAGCTGTGCACATGCCTTGGCCTGCCTTTAGCCCTCAGTAAATGCTTCTGAGGCTCTGCGCTCACTTGGAGAGAGACTGAGCTCAAGGAGACCTCTGGAGCTATGTTCATCGGGTCTTCTAGTCATTTCTTTCGGCACCAACTCATAACATACAACATAGCTAAATAAATAAATGTATGTTTGAGGTAATCACAGTAAAAAAAAATTTTAATAGGAGAAGAAAAGTTTTCTATCTCCCATAGGAAATCTTTCCACTGTTAGTTCTAAGTCACCTAGTTGGCTCCCTGACTGGAACTACCCATTCCATTCTGCTTCAGGTTTGTAATCATTCATACTCACCATGTTGGGCCACAATCAGAATTTCATGGGTGGTGTCTCCCCCTATCCTATGAGTTCCTTGTCTGTATTATGGCTGAAGTCTAAAAGGACCTACAAAAGTCTCTTGTGCTTGCAAGTGTGTTGGATACTGAAGATTCTGTACTCATCGGTGGAGTCATCCATGGGTGAGCTTAGTAGCTAACTATGCTGTCAGGAGGAGGGGTCTGCTCAGAGGTAGGTCACTGTGGGAGAGAACTCGAAGGCAGATTCGTGGCATTGACACCTTGATTTTTGTCTCTCTGTCTCTATTTCTCCCTGATTCATTCTCTCTCTCTCTCTCTCTCTCTCTCTCTCTCTCTCTCTCTCTCTGGCTCCATGTCATTGTCTGTCTGTCTGTCTGTCT